TGAGTGAAATGTGATTTTATTGTCATTATGATTATATATGAAAAAGGACTGGAAAAGAATATAAAGATGAGTTGCAGTGCTGGGACTGGAGTGGCGATGGTTACAGAGACATGCTGCAGTGCTGGGACTGAGGTGGAGATTATGAGACGGGCCGCAGTGCTGGGATGGAGGTGGTGGCTCCACAGACGTGCCGCAGTGCTGGGACTGGCTCGCTGCCACGGAACTGGCCCCATGACCGGCTGTAGATCTGAATTTCACGATCCACAGAGCTTCCACTGGCTGATTTTTGGAAGTGGATTGCCAGGCCTTTCTCCCTAGTCTATTTCTAGTCTGCCGGCTCCACTGGAATCTGATCAGAGTCAGAGCCACATGCAAGCTTCCCCTCACTGCTGGGTGGAGGCTGCACAGGAGGTGCATTGGCTGAGAGTGAGGTAATGTCCCCCTTTTTATTTTCTTAATTATGTCAACAATGTAGTGTGAGCAACCAAAAAACTCGGAGAAAGAAAAGCGTGTCTTGAACCACTTCCGGCTGCCGGAGGGACGATGCCCCTTTACCCTGCAGGGCATGGCCCAGAAGGCTCAATGTCGAGCCCAGTGCTCATGGTCATATCTGCCCCAGCTGAGGGACTCTAGGTGGCCTCGAGATGCTCACCACCAGCCCTCCTGCTGGGAGAGGGTGTTCTACCACAAGTCACCCTTTCCAGGAACCTTGCCTCCTCAGCAGGAGCCTTGGTGGTACAGTGGTTACGCACCTGGCTGCTAACTGAAAGGGCGGCAGTTAGAACTCAACAGTTGCTCCATAGGAGAAAGATGTAGCAGTCTGCTTCCACAAAGACCACAGCCTTGCAATCCCTATGGATGGAGTTCTCTGTCCTGCAGGGTCACTGTGAGTCAGAATCAACTCAATGGCAATGAGTTTGGTTTGGCTTTTGGTATCCTGGGTGTCTTCTACAGGGGCTCAGGGAGGGGTGACAAAATTCCAGAGGGAGGCACAGAAGCAAAGGTAGTAAGGGACTAGTCCTGGCCCAAGGGAGGGCCTGTGGCTGCCATAGACCTTTTGAGGCCTCTGTGGGGTCACGTCCTGTGTATCACCCACCCTCTGCAACCCTCTGCTCTCATCAGGCGGCCACAGCTCAGGGATCTCATGCTTCTAGGGAGAGAAGACAGGAGGCAAAGCTGGTTCCTAAGCTAAGACATTGGGCTGAAGCAGCCATTTGTAGTAAGGGTGTTAAAACAACCTCCACCCTCATCTTCAGAGAAAGGTAAGGCCTTCAAGCAGGCCAAGGCGACAGGCACTCATAACATACCAAGATCACAAAACTCAAACAGTAACCTGGTCATCCGGAGAACCCAGGAAACATGGGCTTCTAGAGTTTTCTAAAGAGAGCTCAAGTCCAGCTATGTGGGATCTCCCAAGTCTAAACAATAGAACTCATTTAAATTTATTTCACTCATTTCAATGTATTTCAAAGCACCTTGAAGGCCAAAGAAAACACACTGTGTCCCAGTCCGTTTGCTCAAGGTCCAATGTGGGATGACAATCTGAGGAGACTGGGCCTTAAATCAGGCTGAGTCTCTGTAACTACAGAGAGTGTACATGTTGTTGTTGTTGTTATGTGCCGTCAAGTCGGACCCGACTCATAGCAACCCCTCCATGGGTTTCC